GCTAATTGATTGGGATAGCAGACAATTAAACAATTTTGGTTACGAAGGGCCTATAATAGCTTATAAATGAAAGAATAAGGAGTTTAATCCCATGAATTTATGTGGAACAAAAACTCCTCCGCCTCCATACTTCAGCATGGAAGTGAAAGTAATCTGGCGTAGGGGTGTAAATTGGCCTCAGAATTTGGTATTTTTTCATGGTATTATGAATCATGAGCTCTATTTAATTATTTTAAAGAGAAATTTTAAATTATCCGTCCGAAATTTGGATATTGGGGACTACTTAATTTTTTTACAGGATAATGACGCCAAGTGCACTGCTCTCAATGTACGCCACTGGTGTCTCTATAACTGTCCCCAAATTATGAAAACACCTCCTCAATCATTTTATTTAGCCCAGTAGAATATATTTGGTAAGATTCTGATGTAAAAAAAAAGAAAACGTGACAAATGAACACAAAATGTGAAGTAAAAACAATAATCACAGAATAATGGAGGAAAATCGATGCAGAAATTACAAAAAACTGATTAAATCTATACCAAGACATTTAAAAGTTGTTGTGGACACTAAAAGATATCCTACTAAGCACTAAATTAAGAAAGAAATAGAATATTTAAAGCTAAGTTGAGATTTTTGTTAAGTGTACGAAGACTTTTGTGGCGTAATTTTTTAGTAGCTTTTTAATTATTAATTTTTAAAAAAAATAGTTATACAATTTTTAAAAAATTAATTATGTCATTCCATTAAGAATAAGTTGCAGATATCATAAAAAAATTACAATTACAATATATTAATTTTTAATAGTCGAAAACATTAAATTTTATAAGAAATTGCAAGTGTATGAACACTTTTGTGGCCCACTCACTGTACATATTTATATTAATTGTAACTATTAAATAAAAAGTAGCTAAAATAAAATTTTTCTTTCTTGATCTAAGTAGGAATTGACTTAATTTTTTAAAAAAATATTATTTTGAATTTAAACTGTATTTGGAGCTAATGACCCAAACGATTTACCGAGAAACAAAACATTGCATTAAATTTCCGTGAAAAATCCGGGAAAGTTGATTCGCCAACACAAGATTTTATTTAATATTGTGTGTGTGTGGTTAATTGTAATTCATCTCATTCTTTAGTCGCGGTTTTTGATGATTAAACTTCCGCGAGCTCGTAAACATATTTAATATTCATAAACTGATCTAAAATCTACATGAAATTGCGAACAAAATGATACAAAAACATTTGCTTTATTTATAATTATTAGTTGAAAAAATGTAAGAAAAACAAAGAAAATTCTTCATTTTTGTTAGTAACGCAGTATTTTTCAATAGTATAATAGGTATGTTTAAGCACAGAACAGGCAAAATATCTTTGAATTTATTCAATTCCTACTATTAGCTCACGATCTCTATATGTTTATTTATTCAATTCCTGCACACACTATTAACTCACACTCTATATATTTATTTATTTATCTTGGTGGAATTTTCAATCGTTAATAAAATACATTTTAAAACGCTCAATTGAGCTGAAATTTTATATACAGGATCATTTTGGATGACAATACAATAAATTAATCATAATTAATAAAAATTAATTGATTAAAACTAATTATTCAAAAATTATAAATTCAGCCACGTTGGCATCTTTTTTTGGGATTTAGCGACCCTTTTTTGAATCACGTTGTTTTGGATAAAAAACGATACTTTAATGATAATTAAAAAAAAATTAAATTACAATTTACGGTTGATTCTATCATATTATAAACATATGTATATTTAATTGTAACTATTTAATAAAAAGTCCTAAAAAAAAAATTTTTTTTTGTTGATCTAAGTGGGAATTCCCAAATTTTTTTTTATATTACTTGTTTCAGTTAATTTTTTTTTTTCATACATTTATTGAGGAGTATGGCATCTTTATATATCCTTCCCGAATTGATCCCTATCTCTTCTTCCCCAAAAAAAAATGGGCTTGGTGGAAGTTAGTATGGTGTGGTTTTTTATATATATATATATATATTAAAAATATATAATATATATATATATAAAATATATATATATATATATATATAGGTCAATTCTCTACAACAAAAGATCACATCCAAAACAATAAACTCGACAAACCAAAAGACAGCAGGAAAATCACACAAAAAGAAGGACAAAAAAAGTAATCGGATAATAAATATAAAATGGATTTCAGTGCCGAACAATACTGACTTAGGACAGTTGGGATATAAAAATTAATTTATATAAAAATGGGGTTTAAAATTTTTTTGGCCAAACCTTCCCCTTTATTTGTAAATAACACTGAGCAAAAAAAAATAGGAAATAATGGATAGAAATATCTAAATCCATTACAAAATAGAGGTAACACCTAAAAAAATTTCACTTACAAATGCAAAAAACCCGGCTAAATCTGAGGGAAACATTCAATTTGTTGACCTATACCCTAATACAGATTTAAATCAAAAGAGGGCTTAAATGTAGATTAACAAAAGATTACAAATGGAAATAAAAAATTTAAAAAAAGTTGCATATTATGCATAACTATACTAAACCAAGGAAATATGAATAAAATAATAGTAAGTAATTTCTAATCTAATATTAGACTATGGAGATAACTATATCAAAATATTTGTTTATAGTAATAAGCTATTATCAACTTCATAATTTTAATTCTAACTATTTTGAATAGCTTTATTTATATAACTATTAATAAAATAAATTGGTATTTCTGATTTAAGCAATATTTAGTAAATGTGTATAGTTATTTATAATGTCTGATTTTTTGACACAAGAAATTTATTAGTTGTATATAATTAATAACAATATTTCTGAATATAGAAACATGTACATTACTCCAATGAGGAACTTTATAATATTGAAATTAAATTCTTCTCTTTATCATAAATATTAGAAACTATTATATTTTTCATATAATTTGACATGTATGTCAAGAAAATTGCTTCATTGTTGTTATTATTTGTCTGTATTAAATTAAGATATTGTGGATAAAAATTAATGTTAGGTATAAAATTGGTTTGTTTGCCAAAGGATGATTATATCATCTATATAACGATAAATATAAAATTTAGAATTATTAATGTAACTACTTTCAAAATAATGTAAGTATAAATTGGCAAGACAGTTGCTCGCAGGGCCACCTTGTGGCAATCCTTAATCTGCTGATAATAGTTACTTTTATGATATATATACCCCTTTAAGTACAAAACCCAAGTAGTGAACCAAATCTATCATAATTAACATTATTAAATAAATAAATTGTCTTTATGTAAATTTACAAGAATATTAATAAAAATCATCAATACATTAGAGTTAAAGAGGATCTTCAAAATCTAAACTATAGACTGAATAAATTTTTATCTTTCATTTTCTCAACAAGGATTTGCTATTTTTAAGAATGGCTGAGGATATAAGGTTGAGCTTATTGTTTCATGCACAGCCGGAGAATTTTGCCTGTTTTGCTGGATATATTATTAAAACCATTTTGTAACTGTCCTAAATTTAACTGGCCTTTATGTAATTTGGGAGCTAGAAATATATGTGGAAATTTTAAAATTATTATTAATTTGAATTTTTAACTCTTTTTATGAAAAGCCAAGATAATGCTTATTTATTTCTATCAGAACAAAGACTCAATAAAAGCTGTATTATTATCGAAATAATTGTTGATCAATAAATTATAATAGTATTTTACATATGAATGCAAAATTTCCTGGCACTTTATCAACATAAACTATAATAAATTTATTTTGTAAATATTTAATCTGACTTTAATATTATTAAAAAGATTTTATTATCTATACCATAGTTATATTTATTGCTGCTTTGTAATTTTATTTTTTGAATTCTGTAATCCTCTATGGCATACTATATTTAATATATTTTGTATATAAAATGCCAATATCATTATTAATTGTTTTTTAAAATTTTATTATTATTCGAAATCATTAATCAAAAACCCAAATCCTTTATTCATAATATTTCAAGATTATTGTCTTTTTACAATATTGAGAACCAGTAACAAAATGCGTGATGTTGATCAATAAAATTTTAAATTCATACATTTACATATTAAGTTATCTTTTTTATAAATTATAGTTAAAAATTTTTTACCTATTTTTTTTTTGTATTTAAAATTTTTTTAGTGATATTTTGATTGGGAAAGATGACATGTTTTTTAAATATGTCAGAAAAATTAACATTATCATATGATTTATTCATATATAAAAGTGTACAATTCTTTTGATAACCTTTATTTACTTTAACTTTTTATGTTATGTTTATGTTTAAAAATTTTTGAATGTCCTTAAAATGTGCAAAGCATAAATCTTTAATTTTATTTGAAATTAGTATCTTCTGAATACATAATTTGTCTTACTGAGTCCAAACATAAAAGATTTAATGTGTTTTATGTTAAAATTGTTATCAAAGCTATTACAAATATCTATAATACTATCAAGGACTTTTGGTCTCTACTAATCTTTTTAGTTTTAGCCCTCTATTTTTCTTTTTATTAGATATTATATTAACCTTATTATTGTAGAAAACTCTTAAAATTTTTAGTTTGATTGATTTTAGAATATTTTTCCTTGGTATATACATTAAGTCCATAAGATAAATTGGATTATAATATTTAATAAAGAAATTTTCCCACCAAATCTCTTTTTAATATTAGAACAACTTAATTATTGTATACATGTCAAAACCAGTGATAAAAGTGTTCTTATTTCTTTTTTTATTTGAATTTTAATACTATTAAAATATTTAGTATCTGATCTGTTGATTAATTCTAATATTAATTTTATTTATGTCTGTCCTATATATTTAAATGGCATTTATTGCTCAATAATAAATATATGACAAAATCCAATATCAATTCAAAATAACAAAAACGATTTTTTCATCGGTGTTGGAATATTATTTTTGTTTGTTACTATTTATTCATTAAAAAATCACATTCTCAGAAATTAGGACATCCCAGGTAGGATTCGAACCCACGACCTTTGGATTAGAAGCCCAACGCGCTTTCCATTGCGCTCCTGGGATACAACGAGCGGTTTTCCCTTTTATATATGACGTTAGACTATTATTTTTGTTATTATTTATTCATTAATTAAGTTTAACATCAAGTTAAATTAATATTTGAAAAAACTGTATTAACATCAAGTGTCATCCACTACAAGTTTAAAAAATGTTTTTGAACTTGAATGGAAGAATAGGAAGTGTTTCATTAACGATTGAAAAAATTCGATCAAGGTACTTACATATATATATATATATATATATATATATACAGTAGAACATCGTTTATATCCGAATCAATTGGGATCAAACACCGTTCGGATATGCAATTGTTCGGATAACCGAATGCGATCCATGTAGTGTATGAAACCGGACACTATGCGAATATTGAAAATCATCCCATGCGGGAAAGGTGCGTGAAAAAATAGCAAAATAGGTGCAAAATATCACGATTTTACATTTATTGTGGAAAATAACCATTTATTTTTCGTTGTACCATTGTACACCTTCGTTTTTTCGTTGCAAGGTCTCTGATTCTCTGGAGCAGCAGTAGTTGAGTAGGACAGCACTCTGGTTGTTGTTCGTGGCACTCCATAGCTGTCTTTAACGCAGAAAACGTGTCAGCATTTGGTGGAAACTTGCTACTTTCGTTGTTGTTGTTGTTGTCCTTAGTCTTCATCTGTTTCATCTTCGACAGGGTCGGATTCTTCTTGCACGGAAGTCACAATCTCGTCATCATTTAGTATTTGAAATCCACAGTCTTCTGCATCGCATGCCATCCAGGTTTCTACATCTTCTTCATCGCATTCTTGAAATCCTAGGATCTATTGGATAAAGTCTGTATTCTCCTTTCTATGGTCGTCATTGAAGTCTTTCTCGCCTTCTAAATCTGGCCACAGCTTATTCCATGCCTTTTTCAGGCTCTGTCTTTCGAGCGAGTCCCACGCTTTGGCTAACATGTAGCAGGCTTCCTTTTCAGCAAAAGCAGCAGCACTTTCTTCGTCTTTTTCTGCCAAAAGTAATCTCCACGAAACTTGTAGTTGATATGTAGTTCATGTATAGAGATATGATGTTGATACATGTAGTTGACAAAAAAAAAGTGGTCTGGGTATTTGACGCTCCGCATAATTAACGTTCGGATAAACGACGCTCTACTGTATATATATATAAGGAGATTGTGAACTAATAGTAGAAACTGAAAAAAAGTCACATAAATCCTACAATGCCTGTGTCAGAATCCAAATTTCCGAATAGTTCATAAAATTCACACTAATTCATTGGAATTTCTAAATACGTTTGACTAACATGTAGCAAGTTTTGTCTCCAGGGTATGAAATATCGGTCGACGAGCATGTACCGTGTACAAATATCTCTTCCTACTCATTTTCAAAACAAACAAACAAAAATGGCACAGAAAGTATATCTATATCATCTATGTGTCTGTATTTGATAATAACAATTGCATATAGGCACATTTCAAAGATCAAAGTTCACTCAAGGGCGTAGAGGTAGCATGCTCGCTTTGTAAGCCTAAGGTTGCGGGTTCGGTCCTGGCTGGAGTCGATAGATTTTCTGGATGCGAAAATTGTAGGCGCACATCTCATATGGTTATGTAGTATGTAAAAGATTCCCTGAGTATCAGTTTGGCTCTGGTACTCTCGACAATATTTAGCATCTAACACGAGCTTGAATTAAATTAATTCAAGAGTCTAAATTTGGTGGCGAGATCCGCCACTAGATGGTGATACCCACTGAAATGGATATCACATTTGGGATTTACCGTTTCTGTGAAGGCTTAATTGTGCTCATATGCAGCCCCTTAGGAAAAAATAAGTTCAGTCATGGATGTAATATAAATCATTCACATTCATTAAGAAAATTAGTAAAAAGTTAAATTATTTTCAGAATTAAAATTATTATAAATTAAATAATTTTGAACAAATATAGTTTGAAAAGTAAATTAAAAAAATATGCAATCACTTTAATGTCATTTTTATGAAAATCCCTTCAGGGGGCTCTCCTTCGTTAGGTGGACACGGGTGTCATAATCCTGAGGTACCCTAGTGATCTTTTTCTTATCCTAAGGGGTTTACTATCCTTGGTAAACACGGGTGTCACGACCCCGGGGTACCCCAGCGATCCTTCTCTATTTTCGACCCTCCATCTTGTCATCCAATTTATTTTCTTCTTTTCCCGTCCTGACCACATACCTATGAATGTTTGGCGCAGTATAGCCAAAACTGGTTCTTGTGCCATAAAACACCAAACTCAACTCAACTCAACTCATTTGTATGAAAAACATCAAAGTCAACTTAATTTTCTCATGATGCCATACTAATTAGTTTGCTGTTTCATTTCTTTATAATCTCTTTTCAGTTATAGCTTACTCCATATAGACGGTTTTCTTTCAGGAGTACTCTTAAATTCAATGAGAAATAAGAGGTTCCCTCATGAAGTAACTATACCACAGCATTAAAATCACGAATATTTCATCGTACTTGCTTGAAATCAATTTCAATTTTTAAGCCACCCCTCAAAAATATAAGGTATAAAAAGAGCAAGAAAGGCAACTTCGAAAAATCGAGAATCAATTTGAAAACAAGGGGTTTCCAGATTGTTTCGTTTTAATGATACCTTCCCCACCACACAGAAACCATTAGAGTGGTTTGGAAGATACCCCATAGTTGATGACTCATTCCTTTGCTGTCTTCCGTCCACCCACCCCCTTCTTCTCTGAGCAACTTTTCGGGATCGATCCCGTTTTTCCCAGAGGCGGATCGAGGGGTTGGGGTAAGGGGGGTCGTAATACGTTTCCTAATCCATTGTCAGAGCAATCTTGTTATTGAAAAAAGAACCAAAGAATAGAACGGGAGGAGGGAAAAAAAATACATTCGATATTTTTTTGTATCATTTTTGCTCTTTATTTCAATTTGTATTTTAAAATGCTCTCCAGTACCGTAATCTGGTTTCGTTCCATACCCATGCATTGTCGATCTGATTGTATGGGTTGGACGAAGTATTGTGTGGAAATGTTGTCGGAAAGAAAAATAAGAAGAATGAAGAACCGAAATCAATTTTCGTAGTGTGTTTTTCTTTCTATTTCTTAGAAATCTACTTGCCTTCTTTTATTACTTTTTTTTTAAAAAAATTTCTTTCTGCTAGTTAGAATATATATATTTGTATTCAAAATGAATTTTTGCTTTTATATGACATTTCCTAGGAGATTGGATCTATTTTCGGTATTTAATTTCACGTTCTCAGAAGAATTTCTCTGAAATTTTGAGATTTATTGTTATAATTTTTATTTCTCATATTTACCTTTTTTTTATTTTCTTTCGCTCTTTTGTGAAAAAGGTGGATGGCAAAAACATATAAAACCATTTTTCTTCAAGTTTTCTATAGTTAAAAATTTGATGGAAATCTTTTATATTTTGAAACAAATATAATATTTGATGGTCTTAAGCACATTTGTTGTTGAACAAATTGTTTTTTTCAAAACTTTTTTTTCTAGAGAAGGAATTACATTTTTGGGTAAAATAGTAGTTATAAATAATTAATTTCATTTTGATAAAAGTGTCTAGTTGCAAAAACAATAAATAAGAATAAATATATATATTTTTTTTACACTTGTGCAAGAAAAATCAACGCCTTTTACGAAAATTGCAAACAGCTTTTTTTTTCCTATAAATAAACTCACTTTGGAGAGTGACTGTTTTTTTTAAACGCAAGGGTTACTGGACACGAACCTCGTAATTTTGTACCTGAAACAAGCAACGAAGACTACACCTGAGCTGGCGGCCGCAGTAGCCTAGTGGTCAAGGTATCGGATCGTGGCTCGCTTGTCCCGAGTTCGAACCCAGCACCACTAAAGACCCATCGTGTAGGGAAGCGATGAACGTTAAATCAATCGAGATCTCAAATGTCCTCCTGTTGGTGTGGTGTGGTAGCTAGGAGAGGGAGATGCCAGCTCAGGTGTCATCCTCGTCACTTGAACGTGGTTCAAAATTACGAGATCCGTCACCAAAATCCCTCGTTTAGCTGAACAGTGCGACATTAATATTCACTCACTCACTCACACCTGAGCGGGCACCCCAAACTGCCATAATACACCGACGGAAGGACTGAGCCTCGAAAGATTTAACGTGCATCATCCCCCTCTCTACGGGATGAGGGGGTCTTCAGTTGCACGAAGGCTAGAACTCAAGACACTTCGGCCATAAGTTGGTGAATATGACCTCTAAACTACGGGAGCAATTAATTTCGGAACTTTAAAAACAAATTTTTTTAGATACATACATCATAAATCTTCTGAAGATATTTATAGCTTCAGTATAAATTATGTTTTGTTTAATTTTAAGCAACGCGTTGTATTTTGAAACAACACAGGACTATTATCGACCGATATCGTTATTTTGAACCATGTTTAAGTGCCGAGGACAACACCTAGGCTTGTATCACACTCTTCAAATTTTCACACTACGCCAACAGGATAATTTTGAGCCTAAGCAGATTTAACGTGCATCAACAGCTCTATACAGTGGTTTTTAAGAGTCATTAGAGCTCGAACCCGCGACCACAACTCGGCTTCCATGAACTTATGTGAGGGAAACGAATATAGTTAATATATTCAAGTCTGTTACAACAAATTTATTTAGTTTATTTATATTTTTAGCAGAAATAACAAGAAGAAAAATTTATGTTGTCAATACCTAGTTCTGAGTAGCTCTTGGACTTTTTATTTTCCTTTTTTTCTAGAAGTTACATAATGAAGTCATAAATATTTACTTCTAAAAATTCTATTACAACTATGAATATATATAAATTTCCAAGAAGTTATGCATGTGTGTTCCCGAATTTAAAACAAAATAAATTATAAATGTTTGCTTAAATTAACGATTATGTATACTTTTTTAATAAATTCCATGGTACAATATTGGTAAATAAATTTTTTCCATACGTAGGCTAAAGTTGTGCTCATAAATATGTATATATGTATTGATATTTGTATAAAAGTACCATAATTA